CACTCTAATTAATGTGTAGCTCCTGCTGAGCATGAACTGTCAGTGTAACTGCCGAACTGGAACTGGTTAATTGATGTATGCATAATAAATTATTGAAAGACACTGTGGATATTATAGATAACCAGAGATATGTGTAATGGTTATGTATAAGCTCCTAAGGCGTTGTTGGAAGACACTACACTGGTATAAAGTGAGGTCATAAGGGCATATCTTGCGTCCATTTTTGGCTAACTAATGTCTAGGGATTGTGTACATGCATGTCCTTATAAATGTGACGCATGTAATATCTGTCTATTTCCCTTTGTCCGTCTTTGTGCACAGTAGGTTAAAAACAGAGTTTTATGCAGACATCAGCTGTTTGGTCCCAGCTCAGAGTGGTCTCCGATGGCTGCTGCAGCATCAGGCTGAACATGTTGGACGTGTGGCTGGTTAGTTTGTTAGTGTCACTGAGGCAGAGCGGTAGCAATTGTAGCTTCCCATGGCCAGACTCAGACTCCACTGTGGTGGTGCCAAGCGGCACTCTCTGCTGTAGCTGGCAGTCATATACTAAACAATGGGCAGCACCAGCACACTGCTTCGCCTTTGTCACCCCTGGTGCTATGCCATGCCTGCATTGGCCTGGCTGACTGCATGACTCAAACCACACAGTCACTGAGTGTATGACTGTACTTTTGTTAAAGTGAAACTTGACTAGTCCTTTTGTAGGACTGTCTGTGTTTCTTTTGACTGTGGTTGATTTGTGGTTACTTAAAATAGCAGTTTCTGAGTGGCCCATTTTTGGTTTCTAAACAACTGTTTAGAAACCTAAAATCCAACTGTTAGCAAATGTGGCGCTCACCTACATCACAGAGGTCAGTGTTATTCAAAGTGATAGAAAAACCCCTAATGCATCATCCTCCATACCTGTATTATTTTCCACGCCTTCTATCTGGTTCCTTTTCATGACACAAGCCTGAGGCTGAAAACATCGATTTGAAAATATTTCTGTAGAGAGTCATATTGGGTGTTTTGGTAGTCCACAAGGTGCTCCGTATGACAAAGATTTTATATGCATGCAGTTTAATAGGATCCATGGCAGTCATAGAGCAGCACAGGCAAGCCGATGCTGAGAGCCTCTCTTCAGGGGGTTTGCATCAGCTGGATGAGAGAGTGACGTCATTCTTGGGCAACTGAAAGCAGTGCAACTCCCGCTGTCGCTGATGCCTCGTTACTGTCAGACCTCCTTGGCTGAGACTAAGAGTCCACACTGAGCAGTCTGAGGCATCTTCTTTTGTGGCAGTGGCCAAAACCAAGTGAACCAGGAATGTACAAGATCAGCTTTCCACACAGATAAATGTAAAATGTCTTAAAAGGGAAATATAAGCATAATGAACATCACATCATTGGCATTAGAGTGTGTTATTTGCTTATAGGGGTTTCTTCTGTGGTCAGTAAGTTACTGGGCACCAATGCTTGTAAGGCCTATGCAAAAATGTAGATAAAGTGCAAACATCCTCCTCTTGACAATAACATGATTTCCTGTGGAGAGGAAGGGTGGGACTGGTCTAATTCTTGAATTATAGAAACTGGAACTGAAATTATAATCTGGGAGGGTTAGACTTTTAGACAGCAGACTGTAAGCCAGCCTGGACATTTTGGGGGGTGCACAGATTTTTTTGGGGAGTGTCTAAGTGCTATGTGACCCATAGTCAGACTTCCCAGTGGTAAAGGAAGTGGTAATTTGCACATGCACATACATGTGTACATAGACATACAAACAGCTGAATCTGACACATTTTACCCAGGCATACATACAAATAAATGCTCATTTGTTGTATACACACTCAGATAAATACATGTACATACACATGTTCTTTTTCTCACCTGGACATATTGTCTAATAGACTGTTCACTGCTGCCTGCAGCACATACACATTCAGGCTCTTTGGTGCGGGCCGAGCAAACAACACAATACAACAACACAAATGGCTGATTGAGTCGGGAAAGGTCAGAGCCTGGCTTAGGTGGCCTTTTGAACTAGACTGGGGTGTTTGAAGAACCAGGCCATCCTCCAAGGCCCTCACCTGGACCAACTGCCC